CACTACCCCTACCACTACCCCTACTACTACCCCTACCACTACCCCTACCACTACCCTACTACTACCCCTAACACTACCCTACCATTACACCTAATACTACCACTACCCCTACCGCTACTCCTACCAATACTACTACCACTACACTACCAACACTACCACTGGGTCATGTGAGGTCACAGATTATCATATAAACTGATGAACTAAAAAAAAGAGTTCCTAATCGTGCTCCTACTCGTGTAATTCCATTATTCTTCATCATATTTGATGGAAATGGCGCCTTGTGACAAATGTGACGCATTGCGACAAAAGCGGTGCATTTGTACTTGTCGTTTTGTCGTGCATCCTTCCACCGAATTGCATCTTTATCGGACCATATTTGACAAAGTTGTTCGATTTGCGGCAAAAATGGCACCTCGTGACAAATGTGGCGCACTACGGCAAACGCGGTGCATTTGTGTAAGCGCATTGAAAACTGTCTTTATTTACCGAAAATCAACACCTTCATTCGCCTCTGTTTATCAAAATAAATAAGCTGCCAATCTGCAAATGAGAGGCACCCGCCGCCGATCGTCATGCATTTTAGTTGTGAAGTTCATCAAACCCGGCTGCCGATGCCTTGAAGACCGAGCAAATTTGGAGAAAATGCACCTTTTTCCAGCGCGTGCCACGTGCGAACCATCCACCCCCCGAGACTCGAACCCCGACACTGCACGTGCGCGTGACGTCATCAACACCCTGCGAAAGTTTCAGCCCCATCCAACGCACCGTTTGACCTGTGCACGGCGTCAAAGCACCCCTCTGCACGGTGCAAACACACAGAAACACATACAGAGTTTCATTCAACAAATAGTATAGTAGATAAGCAAAGATTGGTAAATCTACTGAGATCAAAAATCAAAATATTTGTAACTAGGCAGCAACGTCTACACAGATGCCTCTTTTTAATCCATTTGCTGCTCTATTTGCTGTTCTTTAAGAACAACTGTCATCCACGCACAACTGTGACGTACCTGCTAAAGACAGCTCATTAGCGGCATATACGCTTCGGTGAATGGCTATATGAATGCCTGCAGGATGTTATTTGGAAACCGCCAGATCGTGTTACCCAGTGGCGTCCAACAAGGTGTAAGCTGATAACTACGCAGTCTAGTGAACCGCAAAATGTCTAATTTCCTGTCACTTGCGCAAAATTGTCAACATGCAGTTACTGAAAAAAAATATTGAAATATAAGCCGTCACCACACATTTTAGTTCCCATTTGGCCAAGATAAAAAGGATCAAAATGATAAAAAAAAAATAAGCATCATCTTCACGCTGTCAGGCTCCCCAACATCCCATTTTCGTTAGAACTGACAGTGTAATCCCATTCCGTCACCTGCGACTATTTCGGCGCCATCAGCCCGCAATCACGATCAACTAGACTGCTCGATCCAAGATTTCTGATGGCTGATCACTGGATCATTTTCCTTAGTCCCTCACAATTTCCCAGACATTCAATATTCAGGGCAAGTGCGATGGTTCAACACCTAACCAGCCCAGCATCGAGAAGTAGGTAACCGGACCGTACCCCCACAGTTTAGACACCCTTGGACATTTCCCTCTACCCACCCCTATCCACGGATCACGGGGGTCAGACCAGTATCCAACACGGTCGGTCACCGCCCCCAGCTATCGGTCAGAGGGAGGGAGGGCGGACCGACACCGGTCAGCGGCAGGTCATTCTCAGAGAGTGGTCGGTAAAAACACGGCGCCGAACGGACCGGGACGACGGTGCACAACGGGGCGGGTAGGGCACTTAGAGAGGGAGGGAGGGAGGTGGAGGGAAAGGAGGGGGGATGGAGAGAGAGAGAGGGGAGGGACAGAGAGAGAGAGAGAGAGAGAGAGAGAGAGAGAGAGAGAGAGAGAGAGAGAGAGAGAGAGAGAGAGAGCAGAGAGAGCAGAGAGAGAGAGAGAGAGAGAGAGAGAGAGAGAGAGAGAGAGAGAGAGAGAGAGAGAGAGAGAGAGAGAGAGAGAGAGAGAGAGAGAGAGAGAGAGAGAGAGAGAGAGAGAGAGAGAGAGAGAGAGAGAGAGAGAGAGAGAGAGAGAGAGAGAGAGAGAGAGAGAGAGAGAGAGAGAGAGAGAGAGAGAGAGAGAGAGAGAGAGAGAGAGCAGAGAGAGCAGAGCAGAGCAGAACGGAGCAGAACGGAGCAGAAAAGTGCATAGCAGAACGAGGCAGGGCAGACTGCAGGGAACAAATGAGAATGGCAGCTGCAACGAAGAGCTCCCTCCATCCCCTCCCCGCCCCCATCCTCCGTCCCTCGCACCCCACCGTCACCGCCTCCCGCCGACCGGATGACGTCCGGTGGCGTCAGCTGGATGACGCCGGCCCGATGACGCCCGCCGCCCGTCCGTCCGGTCAGCTGGCCGCACTGTGACGGCTGATCCGTTACTCGGCCCCGCGCCGTCCGCCGCACGTCGGCCCCAATCGCCGCGCCGCAGGGAAGACGGAGGGAAGTCGGAGGGATAGCGGAACGATGGAAGGAAGGAAACTGGAGGGACGACGTTAAGACAACGGAGGGATAGCCAAAGTTATCAGCGGGGTGAAATATTTGGGCATTGGTCTGCTGCACAGCAAAGCGAGCACATGCACGGATGCCGCGGACTGTGGCAGTGACCCACCTTGAGGTCGCCGATGATGGTGGCGAACAGGCTCGCCATGACGCCACACGCGTCCTTATCTTTGACAATGCTCTCCATGAGCTGCAGCACGGCCGTCTCCATGGCAACGGGAGATGAGGCGCTCAGCTGATGACGTCAACACTCGTTCCAGCCACCGCACCGATGACCGGCCACTGGAACGGACAGAGGTAAACGTCAGAGAGGAACGAACAGTGGTGAGTGGGGATTGGGGAACGTCAGAGACACGACAGCGGGCAAACGGGCGGCGGGGAACGGATAGCGGGGAGCGGGGAGCGGTGGCCGGCCAAGGGGGCCCGTCAGCGCCCGATGGGAGCGTCAGTATGGAACCAAACGAACAGCGGGGAACGGGCAGCTGCGGAGATGGGCAGCGGAGAACGCTTTAGATCACCCAGCCGGGGCTTATGGGGGGGGGGGCAACAACTCAAATGGGTGGCTCTTGGGTTTGGTGTTTTCTATATGCACTGTCGTCGAAATGACAAGAAGAGTTTATTTCTTAGAGAGTTAGAGAGATCATGGCCCAGATGCCCCATCCCCTGCCCCTGACAGCAGGGAACTGCCAGTGACAGCCGTGAAGTCTGACAGCTCGATTTTTGACAAGTGACAGCTGTAAACCATCCACGATTCTCCTGTGAGGTCGGATTGGATCGTTACCGTGATAAGCGCTGGTGATAAGTGATTCCTCAGGGTTATACACCAATACAGGATGAGGAGCTGTCCTTACAGGGACTAATGGGGGGATTTGGGGAGGGAGACAGTCTGTAAAACACCGCATGTTACATAAGCTTTCTAGGTTTTGGGTAGCAACAGCTCGGAAAATCACAGATCGTGATATGTGCAAGATAAGGACAGACGTGAGATGCTAAAAGTGGAAAGAATTATCTGACATGGATAAAGAAGAGCACGGGGAAATATATCCCTCCAATGACCAGCGCGATATCACCTCATTGCTAGGGATGAGAAAGGAACTGGAAAAGACAGTAAACGATTGATGTTGCGTAAAACATGTTATTGTTGACATATCATCATCATGTGTTTATGCAGCGCAGACATGGCGCTTCAGCTTATAAGGGCAAATTATGTTGATATGTTTCGATCGGCGATCAGTTCCAATCCATGGGATGACTATTGATTACGGATTATAATACGTGAAACGGATAGCCGACTTCACCTCGATCACCGACCATATGGGTGAGACCACAAAAATGAGTTCAGGGATTGATCACTTTAGTCAAGGTCTTCCATGACCAATGGTCCTGGATGATAAATCGTTTGCTGGGATACGGACGATCGAATCCGGGTAGCAACAATATAAAGCCCGAGCCCCGACAGATACATCCAGAAGGCATCACAATCAGGATTTAGGATGACAAGTCACAAGACAAACGTCGAATTCAATTTCTTTTCTTTAATCTTTTCAAGATTGAAATAACAAGAAACTTTTGGACAAACGATCACGGAAGCAAAGCAATAATTGCCCATTCAAGATGTGTTAGTTTAGTCCTAATGCACTCGCTTGACTGGGACTTTGACGGAAGGTACAACAATCGCTGAAAACGGACAAGTCAGCGTCAACGACACTAAAGAATTGCGTGACAAGCAGACAACAAAAAAAGCATCACAGACGTTACAACTACCTTTTACTTCGATGACTTATAATTAAACGGCGCATTAGCACAAAAGTTCATAACTGCAATTCTGATTTGTCCATCCTATTTCATTATCGAATTGATTGACAAAGGAGCACAAGTCTCACAAAAAAACGCATGTCAATCCAGGACAAAACGAAACTCACCTGAAGACTGTAATGAAATCTAGATATCAAATCAATCCATCCCACAGGAGGATCGGTAACTTCAATAAACCCTTCAGCAGCAGAAGTCCGGCGAACACCCCTACACCTCCACGACCGCTCTCCGACTGGCGCGCCAGCTGGCGATTGTAAACATCCGAGCGCAGATTCGTGTGTCGATACTCTGCGACATCTAGCGAGTGATGGTTCAAGCACAGCTACGCGTCAGAAAGTGGATAAGGGCTAGATGACGCGGCACACGGTGCTAGATGTCGCGCTCTGTCAAACGTGGCAGCGTCGGCAGCGTCATCTGTAGTACTGATAGTTCGCCATTTCGCCGCTAGGGCTTCATTGCTCATTTGCGGTAAATGCTGCGAGGAGTAGGTGAGGAAATTATTGTCTGGTTTCGAATGTTGTCATTTTGTTATTCTCAGTAATATAACATGTAAAGTTAATAATTATCAGCTGCTTCTTTCAAGCAAAAATAAACTCAAGGGAAGCCGAAAAACAAAACTCCTTGATTCTGGAAGCCATGTTCAACAGCGAACAAGCCGGACGGCAAACCGCGCCGGCACTTAGGACCTTGCTTAGGACTTTAGACTGTTGAGTGCCACTTGCCAGATCAAGGGCACATCGAGGGAAAGTAGTTGGTGAGTGACATCTTAGGATTTTCTTATACCTACCTTTGCCTTACTTGCATCGTTTTGTTGGTATATGAGACTTAGAAATCCTGAAGCAATAGGTATACATGCCAAAGTACCATGTTGCTGTGGCTGAAATTGGAATGAATTCATTGTGTAATGCAAAACAGACTGTCCTTGCCAGTCCTTGCATTGCTGTTCTCCATTTGAACTGTAGTGACTTTCGTCGCTTTCTTTCAGGAGCAGCAAGCTGCTGTCTGCTGACATGACCTCGGCTGACCGAAGAGCTCTCCGATCATTCATATTTATGCGTCTATCGGCACCCGATGAACATTTGGTAAGACAATCTCGTCTCGGCCTTGGGTCGTCATTCGTCAAATACACATCCATAAAAAGTGTAGCAAAGCTATGTGGCAAGTTTTTAGATACCTACGGCTGTTCCGGAAAGTAATGATCAATTACAGCATCGGCATGGAATAGTCGAATACTGTCTCAATCCTGAATATAATACCTAAGTCCCAATCACATTTCGAAGTGTTCAATGTTCAAGCTGCTACTTAAAATGCTGCGTTCGCATCGTGTCTTATCTCGGTCCATATTATACCTACTAATAAGTGGGATTATGAGCTAAACAGTAAACAGGTCCTGTTCCAGTTACATGGTTGAACTGATGGCCATTACATTATCTGCTGATAATGTAGCAGATCAAGCCTGTGAATGGGCATTGTTTTGTTGTGTGGTAACTGGTAACTACGTGCTCAGTGCTCAGCCATTTTCGTTGAATGTCTGCACACCACAATCCCGCGCCGCTGCTCACGCACCCCCCCCCCCCCCCCATCGTCCCCACCGACGGAGAGAATCCCCGCCGTATCCACATCCGTAAACACCGCCGCCGCCCTCCCATTGGTTCACAGCTCTGCCGTATGACGTCACACCAGCGTACGGCGGCGCTGATTGGCCGCCGGCGGCGCCAAGGCCGTCTGTACGCTGAGCCGTCGGTAGCGACTCTGACGGTTGTCAGTCGACGGTCGGAGCCCCGGAGCCGGCAGCCGACGCGACAGTGGCGAGCGGACGGTGCGCGGCGCGTGCTGATGGGTGGCCGGGACGGCGGCGGCGCCATGGATGTGTACCCGAGCGGCAACATCTTCCAGGAGCTGAAGCTGGTGCTGGACAAGGGCTGCTTCCTCTCGTCGTGCTCGCTGGAGGAGCGCTGGCAACAGGTGGGTCACGTGACACACGTGCGTTTGTTTATATATGGGTGGGCGTGCGTCACTTCGCATGCACCAGGCAAGGTCTTTATCATGGCATCGCCTGATTGCACTTGATATGCTCTTATCAGCTGTGTAGCTCTATGCCTGCCAAACCCATCATTCTGCAAGCATCCATATCCATAATCATCATTCAGTACAGCCCACAGCGCAGTGCCCTTCAGACCTGCCTTCTCGGGTCACGGCTCATGTGAATGCGAAACCCGGGCCGACATTCCTGGCAGTCACACGGGCGTTGATAACTGAAACAAAAACCCCCGTACCGCCCGGCGGCAGCAGCGGCGGCGGCGCTGTCGAACCCCGGTCTGATCAGTAGTCAGGAGCGGTGTAATCCGTTTACTCTGCCGAGGGAAGCTGGGCCTCTATAATGACGCTGCTGGTGTCTGAAGGCGGTGGGACGCGCGGCGGCGGCTCGAATTCAGTCCGCCCCTCCCCCCGGGAGGGGTAGCCCTCCCAGTCGGCCGTCCATGCTAATTTGTCGCTTCGGTGAGCGTCTTGCAGCTCGTCAGTGTCGCTGTGATGGTGGAGCCGGAAGGACTTGCAGCAGCCTTGGTGGAGGATTTGATTGTATTGACCGCGTATTCTGGTCACCGCTGTTTATTAGTTTGCTTATGATTATTTACCCGCCCCTTCTCTCACGGTTAACCAACTAACTAACGTTCAACTGTACCCATAACTAATGCAGCTGGAGTGTTGTGCACCGTTTCCGCTGTTTTCAATTATAGCTCACCGACGTAACGCAAATGAATACGGCGAATAATCGATCGGACATACCCCGTAAAACGTGCGCTGTCTCGTGGTGGTGTCCCGTTCAGTGAGTATATTGATCGCCAATCTACGGAGCTGACACGGGGCGGCTGTTTTTGTTGTGTTGCTGCACGTGCCACGCGGGAAACCAGCTGCCGCCCCAGCTCACAGCCACAGCCGAGCTGCGCACTTGTGGGTGAGGTAATCATTACGACGAGTAAACGTACACGGTGACTCACCGCCCCCCCCCCCCTTCCCCTCGCCCTCGGTAACTGTTTTGGTAAAAGGTCACAGCGAGGCTGAGTTCTGGCCATCTGTCAAACACCCAGTGCACGGGGCGAGGCACCGGCCTTGGCGACCTGACCTACCCCGCGCCCGACATTTACACTGGCCCCGGCAATTCACCTGTGAGGCTCCGTGCTGCGCAATGGTCCGTATATGTCGGGGATAATAATCTAGCTTGCCTCTCATCGTCGAGACTGAGGACTTTGTTCCCAGCCGGCCTTCCAACCCGGTCTAATTTCGGTACAAACTCTGAATTCCTTGCCGGCTGATACCACTTTAAAAGCCCACGATCGAGCTAAAAATGTCGATAGATTTATTTGTCGAACTGCACGATATAGTTGACATAGTTGACAGTTACGCACGTGCTTTTGTGCGTGACTGGTCGCTCACGGTCACAGCGCGTGTAGCAGCAATCAGCTGTGAGTGTGTTGTGACTTTTACAATCATCTCTGCTCTACAGTGTGTGTATTTGTGTCTGTGGGCTATTTCGTTTGATGTGTTATGACGTGCGGGCGGCCGCGAGAGCGAAGCGCTGACCAAAACAGCCTGCACAATGTCGTAATCGTCACAATTCTCGGTAGGACGGATGCTCGAGAAGATTTTTGCAAGTCCGACAGCGTATACATAAAGGCCATCGCTTGTATAAAACATTCTGGGTCAGCGATGTTCTTTTTCCACTGTCTTCCGCTTCCCTCCCCCTCTACTCTGTTTTTCAACCGTCCCAACTCTCGGCTGTTTCTGTGACATACTTGCTGTCTCGCAGCTGCAGTAGTCCTCTGACCTGAGCCGGCAGTGTCGTTGGCCCGGCCCGGTCCGCTCCTGGCCCGGGCCGACGGCCGGTCGTCGCAGCCGACGGCCGGTCGTCGCAGCCGACGCCGGCGGCAGGAGCAGCGGCAGCGGCCCAGCTGTGGCCCGCCGAGCGAGAATCAATACACACGCGCGCCACTGTGTGGAGCGATTTGCACGACAGCCCGGCAGCGACGGCGATGGAGTTTGTGCCTGTAGCCGCGGTGGTCAGGGTAGCGACCCGGTGACCCTCCATGTCTGGTTTGTCTGATTGATTCTCCGAACGCCGTCTAGGGTTAAGGTCGTGCCATTCGCTTTGGGTCAATGGCCCGTATGTACGTGACCTTTGGATCAGCCGAGAAAGTGGGAAAAGCCTGGCCAGGGACGTTGTTACTTTCCCAACATGCTTGGTCAGCAATAGAATGGTATTTCCGTCTCACTGCATCATGCAGGTGACATTACCATTCAATTCAATCAATTAATCGAATCAAGCACTCTGTTTCTTTTTCTCCAAAAGGAAAGGCCGGCACAGGTGACTGGCTTTCCAGCACAATACACTTCGTTGGGCTTTCCGTTACTCCTGAACCATCGTCCCCAATTTTGGGTCCCGCTATCCCGGAGAAACTGCGCTCCACTGGGGGATCCAGCGGCGCCGCTCCCTGTTCATTACGGGTGTGTCGGGAGATCACGCGACACCGGCGGTATGGCCAGTGGCCGGCGGAGGGCGGCGGAGGGCGGAGAGCATCACCATGCCGTCTGCACGCAGCGGGCCGCCGCCCCCGCCCCCGCCCCCGCCCGGATTGCCGCCGAGCTATCTCCCCAGGATCGGCCGCCCTCCGCCCACCCCGCCGGCCGCCCAGCCCTCCGCCCGTCTGTCTGCCTGTCTGTCTGTCTGTCTGTCTGTCTGTCTGTCTGTCTGTCTGTCTGTCTGTCTGTCTGTCTGTCTGTCTGTCTGTCCGCCTGCCTGTCTGTCCCAGCCCGCCCGTTCGCTGTTCCGCGGAGGAGGTGGGCGGTGGGCGGAGGCCGAGACAGCGCACCTCCTCCGGTGGTAGTAAGGTACCGGTCCGCCCTCGTAACAGATACTCCTGGCCGCAGTGGGTGTAGGTATATGAACCTCCTCGTGTTTTCTATGTAGTGATTATCCCCTCCCCCTTCCATTGCACCCTGCAACTACCTATTTGCTGTCTGTTAGGACACCTGGACGCTTACTTCCGAAAACGTAGGTACTGTCCCCACTCTTATCATCGTCTTTATACTTACTACAAACGCCTCGGTATAATAAATTACTTAGTCTCCATGTGATATCCTCATCGTAGACATAATTACACGACACTTGACACATACAAATGTCACATTACACCACTCTTATCGTGTCACCAGCCGACAGTTCGTCTTCGTGGCGACGTGGTGCCTCGTCTGCACTGACAGGTCAGGTGCGGGAATGTGGCGAGGTGGTGTATGAGTCAGCGCGTCTCCCGAGGTCCCGGCGCTACATCAGACAAACAAGTTCGACCTTCACAGAACAGAATGTGTCAAGCTGTTTGAACGGTGATGTCATCTACTTGTCATCTGCTGAGCTAGGCCTCGTACTTATAAAGTGCCAAGGAGCTGAAGGCTTGAGATGGACGGTGTTTGAAGTTTCGTTGTGGATAACTATTTATATAGACGGTCATGTAACGTCTGCTTGACGCATTATACTTGTCTGAAACACTGACGTTACCGTTTTCATGAATGAACTGTTGAGTCTTACGTGCCCAATGCCGGTGAGCTTATCCGCACCGACTACTTCGGCTTCGCCATGAACCAAGGTCATCCATGACCCGTACAGCATACCTGTGCCCCGGACTTCCGTCAGTTCTTCATATACGAGCCTGGTGATCAGCTATGCTAATGACGTGTCCATGTCCCGCGGGTGGCTTTCAGTGTTGGATGAAAAAAAAAATGGGCCCCTCGTTCCGCCTGTCGAGTGTCGAATACAAAACATTCCCCGCAGTGCCATGTTTGGCGGACGAACTCATTAGTTGACACTCATATATCGTGATATTCCTGATGCATTCTGGTGTTCTTCGTCGTGGTAACTCGCTGAAAAAAGGTTGAAGAATTTTCTTCGGTGGCGGTTTCCTGGAGTCAAAAGTTCAACTGTCCTGAGGTGGCGGTAAACTTCCAGTTCGGCTTAGCCCAAGTTGATTCCCCAAACCGAGCCAGCAGTGCAGGGTCACGGTGAGGTCATACAGGTCATAGGTCACCGGAGGTCAGTCAGCTGAGTCGTCCCGCTGAGGCCGAGGTGCAGCTCCGGGTTCCGCGGCTGTTTTTGTGTGTCGGCCACTAAATTACCAGCTGTTTGTGCTTTTGTCTGTAATTGCCCGACTAGCGAGGCGTAAGAGGGCTAATGCATTAGGCTGTTATTTTTACTGCATGAATGCAAGGGAGATAAATTGCCGAGTTTGCTACAAGTGTAGCTCCGTCACACAGCATTTGCATTGCTTAACCCTCGCACGACCAGGCCATTTCTCATAACACGAACGACCAGGGGGGGGGGGGGTTGTTACGACCCCCCCCCCCTGGCGTTTCGAAACGGAAGGTCGTAGAGCTTAGCGGAAAAAACCAACGGATTGCTCTCAACGAGATCTCGCGATTGGTGGTATATTTTTTGGTCCTAGGTCAACATTTGACCTACTTTTGACCGGTCAAAGGTCAAATTTTCGGAAAAATAGACTTTTCCAAATTTTTCGCGGCGATTGCGGCAAAACGGTGGGAGATATCGACTTGAAACCTTCACTATCGTGTTCCTTGATCAATTCTCTATCGTTTGGTATGTATTTCGTTTCCCTAGCTCTAAAAATGGCGCGTTGGGAGCGCCGGAAGTCGGCAAGGTCACAGTCGGCGGCAGAAATTCGAAAAATCAAAATTTAAATTTTTGAAATCTGATTATATTTTTGGATTTGGGATGTCCATTTGCTCCCTATAGGAGCTAATATTGCTGCATATTCCCATTGAGGTGACAAGAATTAGCAAAATAGTGGTTCGGGCGCTTTTCAAAAATAGTACCGGACGCTGTTCCTCTTGTGACGTCATAGCTCCGTGACCTGACCTGACCCGGTCAAGTTTCTTATACCATATGATAGCCAATACTT